TAAAAATGATAAAATTAAAATGTTCGATAATATGAATTTAAATTTGTTGGCAACTACTCCGGTAAAAGAAAACTACTAAGAACCAAGGAGGTTAGAATAGAAGGAGGGAGGGTTCGCAGTTTCCTCCACTGTCGGAGAAGGAAACTTCACCGAACAAGCGGAGTCCATGTTTGTAACTTCAAATCATTGCATTACGGCAGTGAAACGTACGTGTTTTTAAGCTGTTCTGTGCATGTATTTTCCAGTAAAAATATGTTAAGTTTATAATGAAATCCTTCGCTATTGTTAATTTTTTGTTTTAAAGTTATAAAGATGATATCCTTAATTAACTACGTACAGAAAATCATTAAGAAAATAATGCAAGTGCATAAACATTAAAGCCTTTAAAAAATGAAGTTCTGTATTTCAAGAATTTGTTTTAGGTTTATTAGCAACCTGTTGGTGTACTTTGCAATTTTTATTTAACAAGTGATATTTCTGATATATCCAATATTATAATTTATTAAAGAATCATTTAAAATAATTTTAACTGAAATTAATAGCAGAGATAATTATCTAAAAGATAGTCACAAGTTGCATTTTTTTAAATGAAAGTTTTAAATAGATTCTTTTCACAACCAACAACCTTATAGCAACATGAAAATAAATATTAATAAAATAAAACAGATTTATGTGAATTCAATGATTTCAGTTTATGCTCGTTTCATATTTCAGTCTCAAAGAAATTTCCTTGAATTAAGCTGAATTACAGAAATATACCTATATAAATGTTTGGATACATCTTTCCACATGTTCAGCTGTGTAAACTTTTTACTTTTATCGCTATACTGCTCACAAATTTGTAAATTTATGCAAAAAAATTTTAACAACAAAACAGTTAGTTTATCTTGATCAAATCCACAAATTATATTCCTAACAGTTCACAAACTAAAAATGAATAATAATTAATACATAAATAAAGCATACTTTATTTAACACTTTACAATTCATAAAAATAGTAACAATTGATTCTATTTTTAATGAAAATTCTAAAAATTATTTAAAGTTCAAATTATACAGTTTAAATCTAGCATTTAGTTCGAATTATACAGTTTAAATCCAGCCTTGTGATCCTAATTTGACAATGTAAAGGCGGCAATCATTATTCGATCACGTGATCTATCAACATTTCTTGATTATAAAAATACGGATTATAATATGGTCACCTTGGATATTACTGTTGGCTCAACTGTGCTCACTCTTTTTTCATACTATTTTGAACCCTCAAGAAACATTGACTTAGATCTTCATAAAATTAGTCAAGTCTTTTTGTCCAAAAATCTTAATCGACTGGTTTGGTGTATGGACTCTAATGGCAAATCTGAATTATGGTTTAGTCCCTATTCAGACTCTCGTGGAGATAAACTGAGTGAATTTATTTCTGCCAACAACCTATTTGTTATTAATGAAGATTATGGACCTACGTTTCAGGCAACTCAGGGTTCTAGTTATATTGATGTTACTGTTATTGGTTCAGATCTTCTCCAGGATGTTTCGAGTTGGCGGCTGTCTGAAAAAGAATCCCTTTCTGATCACATGATGATTGAATTTGAATTTTGTCTCTCTACGTTCTTACGAGACACCTCAAATGTTCCTTTTAAAATCTTCAATACAGGGAAAGCAAATTGGGATCGTTTTCGAAAATTTTGTTCTTCTCGCATCACCCGTTTCATTGATATTCTTAACGACTGTACTGACGGTTCTCGCCTAAATACTCTTGTTGAGAATTTTAGTTTTCTGTTCTTCTCCAGGCATCTCAAATTTCCATACCTGTTAGGAATCATGGTAAGCACAATGTTCCTTGGTGGTCTGCCGAAATTTTTTGTATGAGAAAGAGGCTTAATGCCTCTAGGCGTAGATTTCAGCGTTGTAAAAATCCGCCTCTTAGAGAACTTTATAAAAGTAAATATCTTGAATATAGAAAAGTTTACAATCTAAAGCTTGCCGATGCTAAATCTCAGTCTTGGGAAACATTTCTTTCGACCATTGATGTTCACAATGTATGGAAAAAGATTTACACGTATGGAGTTATAAGAGATTTCATGAAAAAAATTGAAATAACTGGTATTTGTCTTTCCACTGGAGAGACAACCAACTCTTTAGAAGAGACAATTACTGCTGTGCTTCAGAAATCTTTCCCCTCGGATCTAGAGGAAAGTGATGATGATTTGCATAAGGAATACCGTCAAGCTGCGCGTACTGCTTATTCTTCTTTTGTAGATCCTATGTTTTCTTGTGATGAAGTTAATACAGTTATTTCTATGCTGGAACCAAATAAATCACCTGGTCCTGACTCTATTTCGAATGAGATTATTAAACAGTTTCATTTAATGTTTCCTCAATTTCTCCATAAACTTTTTAACGTTTGCCTAAATGTTGGCATTTTCCCACGTGTTTGGAAACATGCTCAAGTAATTCTTATTCCTAAAGGAAATGAGTCTAGGATTCCTCACCTAGATAACCTTAGATGTATAAGCTTACTTCCTGTTTTAGGTAAGTGCTTGGAAAAACTTTTTATTAACAGAATTTGCTGGTATCTCCGCCATGGAGACCTTCTTTCTGGTAATCAGTATGGTTTTTACACCTCAAAAAAGTTCTGAAGACGCTCTTTTACGCTTGAATGAATTGTTCAGAGAGCTAAAAAGAAAACCTTGCAGGCGCCTTCGACTATGCGTGGTGGCCTTGTATTCTCAATCTTCTAAAAAAAGTGGAACTTCCAATGAATATTTTTCACTTGCTGCTGATTTTTTAATGAACGGGCGGCCAAATTGCAATTGGGCTCGGCTTCTGCAATTCGTCACCTTGAAAGGGGTTGCCCTCAGGGCTCTGTTTCAGGACCTACGTTTTGGAATATTATTATTAATGATCTCCTATTAAAACTGGAAAATCTTGCTTGTTGTGATACTATAGCCTTTGCGGATGATGTTTTGTTTTGCTTCCAGAGTAGGGACCTTTCTGCTACTTTTTTACAGGCACAAGAGACTTTAAATTTCGCCTCCAACTGGTCAAAAGGTTTTAAATTAGATTTTAATCCTGATAAAACCAGGGTTATGATTATTGAAAAGCGAAACATCTGTTATGATGCATTTCAGTTATCTCTCGATGGCACCCCTTTGACTGTGGTAAAGCAAATGAAATATCTTGGGGTTTTTCTTGACTGTAAATTTTCTTGGAAACAACACTTAACTTATGTATCAGAGAAATGTGATAAATTACAGCGTGGATTAAGTCGTATTGCACGCAACACATACGGTATTAATTACAACGTTCATTCGCTCATTTATAAACAAGGAATTGCACCCTTTATTATGTATGGTTCTAGAGTCTGGGGTATATCGCTCAAGAAGAAGATAAATTATAGATATTTACGACGTGTTCAAAGGCGGATACTTCTGCGGGTCATATGTGGATATCGTACCGTAAGCTATGAGTCTGTTTATGCAATTTCTGGCTTTCCTCCAATTGACATTGCCATTCTTCACTCTATTGCTTATAAGGAAAATATTTCTGCTTCTACTGTCTCTCAGTATGACTGTATTTTACCTCTATCTGATCTCCCTCATCCTTCAGAAAGAATGCTGTTAATTTTATTCAGTTTAGCAATAAAATCGTAGATGATTCGCCTGTAACTTGCTATACTGATGGCAGCAAAATTGATGGCAAGGTTGGTCTCGCATTTGTTGTCTTCAAAAATGGTCTTGAATTTGAGCACTTTCAATTTAGAATCAGAGATGAATGTACTGTTTTCATAGCTGAACTTTTGTGCTTAAACTTCGCCTTCAAATGGGTCTCTAAACAAAACAGTGCTGTTTTGGACTATCTCATTTGTACTGATTCCCTTTCATCCTTGGAGATCTTAAAAAAGTATTTCTTCTTCTAATAATATCATTATCGAGATTCAAAAAAGAACTGAAAATCTAAAGGATAAAAATATTTCGGTTTCATTTTCATTTGTTCGTGGTCATACAGTGTTGTTGGGAACGAACGAGCCGATTTCCTTGCTAAGACAGCGACTAAGCGGGAAATTGACACTTTTGTCAATATCCCTAATTCCTTTTATAAGAAGGTCATGTATGAAAGCATTGTGGAGTCGTGGAATCACGAATTCATTAATTCAAATAAAGGGAATTTAACTAGGAGATTCTTCCCTTCTATTAAAATGAGATTGTCATGTCATCATTTCTTCACAAATTACAAATTAACCCAGTTTCTTACTGGACATGGGAATTTTAAAAGTTATTTGAACAGATTTAAATTGAGTCCTGAGTCTTAACTGTGGCCTTGGCGGCGAGGAGAATGTTGAACATGTGCTTGTATGTCCTAAATATGAGAGCGAAAGAAAAGTCTTGAAACTGGGACTAAAAAATTCTAATATTAACTGGCCTCCAGAGTTTTACCAATTTATTTCCGAGAGAAGTGCTTTTAACACTTTTTGTCAATTCATTGTAAAACTTTGTAATCATCCTTAATTTTATTTCAGTTTTCTCTTCTGTTTATTTTGTATTGTGTTTCATACTTACTTCCGTAAGCCCCATGTGATACTATGTGGTACATGGGGAACTTGTGTTTCTTTTAATAATAATAATAATAATAATAATAATAATAATAATCCTAGCATATATCATTGTATGTTAAGGAACGAGGATATCAGCTATAAACATAAATATTAAAACGTATTTAACATAGTTTGATTATTATTAAGTACTTTTTTTCACATCTGCAAAGAATACAACATGACATTGTGATATTTATCAAATTACGTAGAAAACGAAAATCAATACTTACGAGTGAAAAGTAATACTAGGAATCTTTTTCGAAAATCTATTTGTGCATTCATATGCATCACAAGCTGACATGCTTCAAAAAGAAAAGAAAAAAATGTTGCAATTACCTTGCACAAGTCACAGCGATAACAGTAACGCGGCCGCTAAGCTTCACCGTTTGAGATGAACCTTCCCTCCTTCTATTCTAACCTCCTTGTTATGACAACATATAGTGATTTTGAGTTTCAGAAAGCAGCGCCTCCTTTTACTCTGTATCACGTGAAGAACATCAGTAAAACAAAAAGACCAAATTAAAAGTCAGGTGGCCGCCATCAGTCGACGAAAAAGGTGAGTGTCTGTTTGAAGGTCCAAATCAGTGAACTGAAGAATTTAGTATAAGTAAAAAATGTTACGGATGGAGAATGTCAGGTGGATATTTGTGCTTTTCTCTGGGAAATGGAGAACATCTAAGAGAGAAAAAAAAAGGAGGGAAATAGTAGTTATTGATTCGAGCGTATTGGCAACAGAGAGAAACCAGACGAAAACCGAAACGAAAACTAGCATTTTTTTTTTAGAACTTGAACTCAATTTTTGGTAGTTTTTGAATCGGCTGTAATCGGGTATTGTTCTTTAAATGGTTATCCTTTTAAACTAAAAATGTAAATAATACTATGTCAATATAAAACTAAAACAACAACAACAACAACCAAAAAAAATCATGTGCATGATTTATTTTACGTTGAATTATTCACAAAAGAAGAAGTTAGTATTTTTCTATTAGCTATCCGGAATATAATCCAGCATCAAAAAAATCATCAAAGGATCATCTTGAAATTTATTAAGCCCTTATATTAATAGATTTAACGCAAATTGAAGTATATACTATTTTATTTAAAAGACACGCAAAAATTTGCTACATTCTGATATAATTGCCGCAATAAATTTAATAATTAAAATCTTTTTTTATTTGTATAAATTCTAAAGCTTAAAAATCTTTGAAAATACTGAAGCTGTATGAAATACAAATATGAGAGACTGCGACGTTGTTTACCGTTTTAATAACTGGTACAATTCACTTACTGCATTATAACTTAAAATATAAAGAATTTATTATACTTATATCTATAGAGAATACATTGTGACGTCACAATTTTAGTCCCACCCATTTATGGACGTCACTTAGCTCCGCCTTCGCAACTGTTTATGCAACGTATTCTGAGATTTTACAATCGCCACTACTGAAAATCACCAAGCAGTGGGCTAAAGCACATTTTCACCCATATTTTGAATATGCCACTCATGATATGCCCCATATATATATATATAAAGGAAAATATATCACAATTGGTAAGTGTTTGTATATGTTACAAACTAAACAACGGAAGCAAAGGAAGATGAAATGAGTTAAAACTGTTAAAATGAATAAATTATTAACTTTTATATATCCACTTGATATTTTATAAGAAACAATACATATCTTAACAGAATTATTTAATAGGTAAATATATACAATACATGTTATAGTTACAGAGTTATTAATACTGAACTATATAGGCTAAACTAAGAATAGTCATTATTAAATTAGAAAGAATTATTATTATTTTATTGTTCCCTTTCAACCAAATATAATCATTATTAAATATCATGGTTTACTAAATCCCACAAATTTACAGGAAAGATGTAATAACACAGGTGCTGAGACATGGTAACGTACAACTCCAGCATTCCATAAGCCGAAAAAAAGCACTTCTACTTACATTGCTATCATATCATATGAGCTCATGCTCAGCTGAAGGCGTTTTTTTTCCCCCGTGTATACCTAATATTTATCTGTTTACTGAAATGCGACCACGCTAACCATATGCAGTGCTAGTAACTGCCAATAGCTCGACACGTAGTCAAGCCATAAAAAAAAAGCACCATAAGTACACTCTGTTGAAAAATGAACCGCCATTTTTCTTTATTTAATACCCCCACTAATCACATATGAAGTTTGCTGCATCATTGATTATGTTTGACACATGCACAATTACATATAATCCGTCATTACGAAATATCGGAGGTCAAGTATCACGCTACTAAATACGACATCATCACGATAGTTCGCCCATCTCTGCGCATGCGCTAGCAACACAATTTCGCCAAGACCTCGTAAATCGCCAAATTTAGTCGCGGGTTGCGTTTCCTAGGGAGGAAGTAAAAATACGCATCCCGTATTCGTTGGCTTCTACTTGGTGACTTCATCAATTAAGTTCCATGTATTATACTTACATCACATAATGCTTCCCATCGCACAATATTTCTCAGGTCAGGCCCTGAACTTTTACTATACACAATCATTTCACACACCAGTGACCACATCTGAGGTTACCCATGTGAGGTTTCTCTAATCGGGGTATCTGAAGTGCCTGTAATAGCGGGATAAAGTTCCTGCTGACACAGGCCTACCCAATAGTATTAAAGTATCAAAGGGGTAGAGACACAATTGAACGCTGACATCAGTGTTACTCTTGTCCATGAAACTGTACTGAAATCAGTAGTATGGCCCTTTTATCAATACATCAGTAAAAATCGTACTAGAATCAGTACAATAGCAATTTTAACTTAGTACACCAAATAACGTAAAAATGAAATTTCGTGTCAAAATATCTGGGTTTTTAGATTTTTAGACATTTCCAACATGAAGTTATTTCATATTATATGCAACCCAGACATCGTCTGTGTATTTTATACTGACGAAATTCAGTTGCTAGGAAAATTTTTTTTGTTTCAGACACTGGAAAAAACATAAAATCTGAAAGCTAAAAATCTTTATATTTTGAAACTAGATTTCATTTTTACGTTATTTGATTTCTCATTCAAGTTAAAATTGCCATTGAATGGTATAATAATTCGAAGCATTTCATTAGTTAAAATTTGGCATATGAGAATTATTACGACAGCACAATTTGATCAGAACAAGCAAAACGCCGAAATCGATATAAAAATATTTAGAAGGAATAATATTGGCGGATGTGTTTTCATGCTTGTGTAAAATTTGACGGCATTTGTGTTACATTTTCAAGGTTTTCTTGCTTTTATGTACCCACGCCCTCATGTGCAATTTTATGGAAGAGCCACACTCAAGGAACCAAAGAGCCAAATTTGGCTCCCGAGCATGGTTGCCGACCAATGCCCTAGCCTTTCATGGCTTCCAATCCTTTCATTACTCTTCCTAATATGTAACACATACCCTGTCTTTTCATGTAAACACATTTACATGGCATCCTTTCATTTCTGGTCCATGCCAAATTGCATTCTTCTACTCAAGTTCAACTGAAAAGTGACCTTCTTTGCACCATTATCAATCTGTTCGCTTAAAAATCACACCATGCCTACAGAATTAATTTCTGCTTTGGATATTTCCTCACGTTTTCTCTAACTTTACTACATTCTGATTTAGCTCCATATGCCAATGAGCCTCTTAATCTTTAAAATTTTTCGTCTCCGTTTTTTGCTTTTGTGTTTTTATTTATGTTATAAAAGTATAAAATACCAAAAAATTTTTAAATATTAAAAATTATAGAAAATTATAAAAACCAAAAAAATTACAAGAAAATCAAGACTTATGATTTTTTCTTATACCTAAACTCTCTCGAGCTAATGTGGCTCCCTCTAACTTGCATCAAACTAAGCATTTATGCAATTTTCGTATTTCTGCTTACTATTTAGCAATTTTTATGATGTGGAAGTACATGGTTTAGAACCATAGGTACTCCGAAATACTTAATCATTGGTATTCTGTGGACGCTAACACATACATGTCATTTCCAACCCTACATTGTTATGTAATTCCAAGTCATATGGCTTCATCCTACCTCTTCTGCAAATTTGCAACTTTAGCACTGAGACATCCTTTATAGCTAAAAGTCACCAGAAACTTTGGATATGTCATAAAAAGCAGGAAATGATCTGCAATTTCCACAAAATATTTTGTGAAAATTTATATCATTTGTTGGATTTTATGATATAGGGTGACTGAAAATGCTTTTTACTTGTTAACAATTTTGTTATAGGTCTTCTAAATGCAGTTATGACTGAATTTTCTGTAGAAGATAGTTTAAGCATTTGCTAACTGCCCTCAGACATTTACAGAATAATTTTCCAACCCTTTCTCTAAAAATTTAACAACATGTCTAAAATTGAAAATGTCTGCTAACTTTTGGATATGCAGCCGATAACAGCTGTGAAGACAGTTGTTTGTCAGTATAAATTCTCTGCCTTCTTATTAATGAAGCTAAGGAGCAGTCATCCTTTAATATTCTGTAAAGTTTATCCTAAGTTTTTAACACTTATCTTTAGTTAAAACTACTTTCGTGTCTCTCCTAACTTCAGCTTACATTCCTGCCAGAGTGTGTTTTTAGAATCGTGGTTAATGCAAATGAGGAAGAGCGGTATTTAAGTTGAAGTTCCACTGCGTTAGAGAGCCAGAGATTCTGACTAGTGCGCGTTTGCCTTTTGTCTGCGCTCTCTCTACGCTCGGCCGTATTTCAGACCCTTGATAGCTTCGCCAGTTAGTTAACATTTAGGGGCCAACTCCTTAGAATTTTGATAGCTTCGCCTATATTTTTTTAGTTAAGCATTAGTTAAGTTTGATTTCTTAGTACTCTTGAGCTCAAACCCAAGTGGAGGCTTTTCTGTACGCTCTAAGACAGGGGCCGACTGTAAATTCTTATTTTGAGAAAGAAAGAGTAATTAACCTGTAAAGTTGCGCGCCTCCAACCTGCACGCAACAAAGTGGTGACTGCTGAAACTGGAAATCAGACAGAGTCTTGAGAAGGGTTTAAGTCCCTTTTTATTGAACTTAAGAAATTACAAATGCGTGCTCTTGACGCTCACAAACTATGCCGACCCGGCGGTAAAATAAAAATAATAAACTGAAAAGAGATAATAACAAGAGACTAACTACGAGGCTCTCTAAACGTAACTGACCTCACCGCGTTCTACAATACCGCTGATACTTCAGCAAACTCTGAATATTACGTTGAAAGATTAACAATTTGCCTAGGCAAGCACACAGGCCGAAACGCGTGGTTCTTCAATTTCTAACTACCTCCGCCCTCGTGAAGTAAGAAAAGCACACCTTCGAACTCGTTTCCTTTCTATTTAACTCAGAATACTTCCGCTGATAATTTGAATCCTTGCGCGTTCTACTAAATTTTACATACTCTGGCATTGGCAGTTCCAGGGGAAAGTAAGGCTTGACAGGAAAGATAGTTTAAACTTAAAATAAATGTTAGTTAAAATAAATATAAACCCTACAAACCCTTCTTGAATTGACGTTTCTGTTTTCTCAGCTAAAGCGATTATTCGCTTACCAGTTCTAGAGGTTCCACACACTTAGCTGTTTAAGAAAAAGTTGGAATCCGACAATTTTACACTTTGAATAGTTTGATTAAGTCTCCTTGACATGACATCAGTATCATCAAATTACTGCTACTGTATTGACACCATTCTGGGTTGAATATGTGAATTCCATGCAGTTTTAGATTGCGATTATCCTGCTTCTAAGCGATCTATTTCTTTCCAACAAACTGAATCAGAATATATATATTTCACACAGTTACAAACCATCACAATTTCTTGCATACACTGATATTGAAGAGCTGCTTCAGTTTTTAGGCATTTTTGACATTTTTATGAATTAATTTTATTAAAGCATCAAAATATACTCCAGACTTTAATTTTAAGTATCGCAGTATTTTTAGCATAGGTGTGAGTTTTAGCTTTAAATCCGCACTCGGTAACAAAACAAAAGTCAGCAGTAGTTTCTGTAATTCCAGTAGTCTATTTATCTATTCAAACTTAACTTCTAATTATTTTCTAATAACTTCTATTTATACATTGTTTTTAAAAAATACAATAGAAATTTTCTGCAAGTTGGAAAAGTAACATAAGAAACGGATAAAACGATTCAGATATGTATATATTTGGAATTGTAAATAAATTTTCTATAAAACACCTTTGTATTTAAAATATTGTATATTATAATATGGAAGTTAATCTAATTCCATTTCTTATTTTTCTTAATTATATTTTTCACTGACAAAACTGATTTATTTGAAATATGGCAATAATATTTGTATCTTTCAGAGGTTATAAAGCAGCTCGGTTCTGTGTGAAGTTAAAGTCCCAATGTGTTGGCTTGCAGAGAGTCAACAATAACATAGTTGTTGGAACTATGGATGATGTTCTTAGCAGTTATAATACTAAGGTGGGTTTAAGAAGGTTTAGACATGCTTTTCATTCAGTTCTAATGTTGTTCAGATTTAAGTAAACCAGCGACGTAGCTAGAGGGAGGGCGTCGGGGCGGCATTTTTCGCGTGAAACATTATTCTATAAGGTTTAGACGAGTGACTGAAGCAGGAGAAAATTAATGATACACGGAATTAAATTGAGAAGAAAAGAAGTTTTTACTCTACTTTAAAGTATTCTAAGAACTCTTTGCAAGATTTCAAGAGAGAATTTATTTCGCCAAAACTTTTGAATAAAAATTATTATTATCAACGAAATTACGATCGCGGTGGCATTAATAAAGAAGAATTCCTAGTTTTGTCTTCCTTATTGCTAAGAAAAACGAAGTAGGAGTACTGAAGTTTATTCTAAAATACAGTCTCTGGAACAAAGTTCAGGTATTGTAACAGTACTGTGAACTTTCCTCACGGTTGCTATAAATGTTGCTAGTTGTGAAAAGAGTTTTCTAAATAAAAACAATTTAAGATCTATTTAAGAACTATGTTTATTTTGCATTTAATATATTTTTCGACACTCTCTACATAACAGAAACGGGGCAACCAACCTCTGTAGTGCCATCGATGGTTTTGCGAACAAAAAAAAAATAATAATAATAATAATAATAATAATAACGTTTTGAAATTTTGCTATTAAAGTCTTTATTCAGAAATAAACGTAAATTTTAAATTGATTTCTTTTGCATGTCATTTTGATATTTTTTAAGCTTTTGTGTATAAAGAGTGGCGGCAAAATCAGAGACCTCTCCAGACGACAAAATCAGGACCGCTGCTGGTAACAAAAGGTCTAACTAGTATGTATGCCACAGTGGTAGAATCATTATTAAGTCCGCAATTCTGAGTCTTTGTTCAAAAGTTTTTAAGGAACCTTTTTTTTTCAGTGGATCAAATATTAACTTTTGATTTGGTAACATAGTGTTGTGTTTTTTTGTAAATATTTAGATCTTATTTATATTTATTTTTTAATATAAAAATTATTTTAAATTCTTACGTAATTAAAAATAAGGTTTTAAAATGCATTAGTAAATGTTTTTCATTTTAAAAAAGTACCTTGAGAATTGATTGATGATATGAAATGGAAACTGAGTTAAAAACTTAAATAATGCTAAAAAAATTTTATGATGTTATTATTTAACTTATTCTTTAACTTTATAAATGCATAGACGAACTCAGATTTCCTAATTTTTGGTAGTCTTCATTAAAAGCTTCTTTATTTATGCTTAAACCTTGCTTGGTAGGTAAATGATTATGGGAAATCAAACAAGACAACTCTTGTTTGATACAATATACTAGAATATGTTTTAAGGTGAATTGATTCCTACTATTTATTTACAATGTCTGTTTTTTTACCTTTAAGCCATGAGCTCTCTTGCTTCCCAGTAGAAAGCTAATGGCAAAATTAAAATTATTAAATTCACAGCATGGTGTGACGTTCAGACATATGCACCCCTCGGACTTCCAGGTGCTTAATGAGAGATATCTGATTGTCAGAGACAGAATGGGCAGCTGACCTTTGGAAGACATGTGCAACGGAAAACCCCCTGGTGGAGTTTCCGGACATAAGGGACTAATTTTCTTTTCCAGATTGTAACAAAAACGAAGAGAGGGCTTTGTGTAAAAAGCTTTTTGATGCTGTAAACGGGTGAAAGCAGAATGATTTATGGCTGAAATGATTTGATTATCTTAATTACTATTCAAGAATTTCTTATTAAGTTTTTAAAATAAATATTTTAAAAGACAACCCGTCTTTTCTTTCACCCAACAAGGGTGTTCTGACGTTGCAATGGGTTTAAATGGAATGACGAACCAAACCTAGAACATTATTACCAGTATGTAATAATTTTAGTCATGTGCATGATTAGGTGAGTTTCTCAATAACAAACCCGTTTTATAATTATATACTCTGCATTATTTTCTCTTTTGATTTTATCAATAGCTGTAAAGCTTCAGTAGCTTCATTTAATTTCATCTTATTGTTGTAGGCCAAAAGAAAATGAAATAGAAAAGCTATTAAGATTAAGAAAGAATAGGAGAAAACTTATTGTCTGTGTCTAGAAATAATTGAGTAAACCATTAGCTTTACTTTTTAAGAAAATGCAATAATGTAATACATTACATACCAAACTCCGGCAGCTTTGCACATAACCTTCAATCTTTGGAAGCTTCTTTTTATTTCGTCCTACTATTCAGAGTTGAGAGAGGAGAACAAAATAGCAATGATGCTAATTGGAGGAGGGAAGAAAAGAAATCATTTGCTGCATCTAGGAAAAACTAAATTATTCAAAATTTGTTTCTTTAAAATAAATTCTTAACTTACATTAAACATCTTTTATAGTATTGTTTTTAAAAATAAGAAAAAACGACACAATTTGGGTTTATATATATATATATATATATATATATATATATATATATCATGCTTTTTATGTTTTCAGTTATAATTTGTATTATTTCAAAATTTGTTCCCCTGAATTTCTAAGAATATATTTAATTCAGTTTTTCAATTTCTGCTATTTAAATGCTTTTAGGAAATGTCTCAGATTTAAAAACATTTTAAATATTTGCAAAAGTATCTAATATTTAATTTTGAAAAGTATTATGTGTAAACATTTTAGTATTTTTAAAATTTATAATTTTTGAAGCACTTGCGAATACTGCATGAGGAAAGAAAAGTAATTATTAGACATCATTATTAGCAATTATTAGACAGAAGCGATTGTTTAACCAGTGGCCTAGTAGATTAGAAGAAAAACACGCTAATGTGACAATCAAAATCGTAAAAACAATCTTGTATTTAGCGTAAGTATATTGAAACACTCAATCGATTTCGAAGGCAGCTAAAGGTCCCTCCTCATCAGGAGAAAGAAATACATAGAAAGAAGAAAAAAAAATAAATAAAGGGGAAGAAACACGTGGTCCTTATCAGCACTGCACGTGATTATAACCGGATTTTTAATCAGAGTTACACTGGCCGCCTACTTTTACTGAGCAGGCTATCTGATCAAACATGTAACAAAAGGACAAGAACAATTAGTGAAGTTAAAAATAGGGAGCGAGGGGCAACTGCACCTTCACGCTCAAAATCTGAACTTCAAATAATGGAAAGCAACCACTGAACGAATTTTTATACCCTCTGGTAGTACCAAACGCGAGGAGGTAACGCCATCTATCGGCAAAAAATAACTGAATTAAGATAGTAAAATTTTAAAGGCATTAGGAAGGACTGGATTGGACTTCAAATCATTAACTAATCATGCTAAATCTTTGTGAATATGAAAAGCCTCAAGAAAATCCAATTCACCTATGGAAGAAGCCTTTTGGATAATTTTTGCAGACCTAAAGTCAAAATTATGGTTAAATGTCCAACTATGATACGCTATTGAAGACTTGTTAATTTTCGCCTTTTTCTGACATAAGATTCATGTTCCTTGATACGAAACTTCAACGCTCTTTTTGTTTGGCCAATATATCTTAAACCACACTGACACGATATACTATAAATTCCCCAAGAATTCAAGACAGAAACGCAATCTTTTAGAATCGAAGGGTGAATTTTATTAATAGGGGAGAAACCGACTTGAAAATTGAATTTCTGGAGAATCCGTGCAATTTTATAGCTAACAGAAGGATAAAATGGAAGCACGACAAGGTCATTAATATTATTTCTAACAGTGGAATGTCTTCTTTGATGGGAATCTGAAAATTTTTTAACGGCTTGATCAATAATCACGCGAGAAAATCCACGGTCAATCGCAACTGCCCTCAAATAATTAAGTTCATTGGTAAGCAAAGATTCAGAGGAACAAACTTAGAGCGCGCGGAATACATAATAGTAAAAAAAAGCCATTTTTTGCTTAACAGGGTGGCATGTCTTGGCATGGGGTGGTAAACAAACTGCAAAGGGTTTACGGTACACAGTAGTGCTAAAATCAGTTTCATTGCGGATTATAAGAATATTAAGGAAGGGGAGGGAATTGTTGGATTCAATTTCACGAGTGAATTGGATGGCTGGATCAATTGAATTCATAATTTTTATATGTACTATTTTGAGATGAAATTATTTGATAAACTATCTTTTCGTCTTTGGATTCGGTATGTTGACGACACTTTCGCACTTTTTGACGGTTATAAAGAGGATTTATCCGAGATTCTATCTATTATGAATTCAATTGATCCAGCCATCCAATTCACTCGTGAAATTGAATCCAACAATTCCCTCCCCTTCCTTGATATTCTTAAACCACACTGACACGCAATGAAACTGATTTTAGCACTACTGTGTACCGTAAACCCTTTGCAGTTTGTTTACCACCCCATGCCAAGTCATGCCACCCTGTTAAGCAAAAAATGGCTTTTTTTTACTATTATGTATTCCGCGCGCTTAAAAGTTTGTTCCTCTGAATCTTTGCTTACCAATGAACTTAATTATTTGAGGGCAGTTGCGATTGACCGTGGATTTTCTCGCGTGATTATTGATCAAGCCGTTAAAAAATTTTCAGATTCCCATCAAAGAAGACATTCCACTGTTAGAAATAATATTAATGACCTTGTCGTGCTTCCATTTTATCCTTCTGTTAGCTATAAAATTGCACGGATTCTCCAGAAATTCAATTTTCAAGTCGGTTTCTCCCCTATTAATAAAATTCACCCTTCGATTCTAAAAGATTGCGTTTCTGTCTTGAATTCTTGGGGAATTTATAGTATATCGTGTCAGTGTGGTTTAAGATATATTGGCCAAACAAAAAGAGCGTTGAAGTTTCGTATCAAGGAACATGAATCTTATGTCAGAAAAGGCGAAATTAACAAGTCTTCAATAGCGTATCATAGTTGGACATTTAACCATAATTTTGACTTTAGGTCTGCAAAAATTATCCAAAAGGCTTCTTCCATAGGTGAATTGGATTTTCTTGAGGCTTTTCATATTCACAAAGATTTAGCATGATTAGTTAATGATTTGAAGTCCAATCCAGTCCTTCCTAATGCCTTTAAAATTTTACTATCTTAATTCAGTTATTTTTTGCCGATAGATGGCGTTACCTCCTCGCGTTTGGTACTACCAGAGGGTATAAAAATTCGTTCATTGCTTTCCATTATTCGAATTTCAGCTTTTGAGCGTGAAGATGCAGTTGCTCCTCGCTCCCTATTTTTAACTTCACTAATTTTTCTTGTCCTTTTGTTACATGTTTGATCAGATAACCTGGCTCGGTAAAAGTAGGCGGCCAGTGTAACTCTGATTAAAAATCCGGTTATAACCACGTGCAGTGCTGATAAGGACCACGTGTTTCTGAGACTTCTTCCACTTTATTTATTTATTTTTTTTTTTCTTCTTTCTCCTGATGAGGAGGGACCTTTAGCTGCCGTCGAAATCGATTGAGTGTTTCAATATACTCACGCTAAATACAAGGTTGGTTTTACAATTTTGATTCAGTGGCCTAGTGCTTAAGACTCTTGTATATTGTTAGTCTGACCCGGGGTCAAATACTGTCAATCCTTTTTTCGGATGGCTACTTGAGGATGGTTGATTTTTTGTGGTTTTCCTCTTCCGTACCTTAAATACAAGCTAGTTTTCCTTAGAAAGTCCTCCACAAACGCATCCCTCCTCTTAGGCAGATAACCCTCTTGTGCTTTACCATAATCAAATAACCTAACCATAAAAGTCTGCAGCTGTGCAACAAAAAATTAGGAACGATATATATGAGGCTCAAAAATTTAAAATTTAAGAAAACTCGATTGGCGTTTTAAGTTACACAAGATACATATTTCATAATTAATCAGTAAGACTAAAATCAATTAAAATTTAAATATTGAGTTGGTAAATGATGTAGAATGAAGTACCCAGCGTTTATTTCATTCACTATTTAAAGATTCCAAGAATTTTCACTATTATTATTTTCTTTTCTTAAATGTATGTGCTTGCTATCTATTAAGCAATTGATCAGGCCAGTATGAGGTATCGCAGAAGTGAGTTAATCAACATTTTAGCAAGGGAAACTACAGAGGAAGAATATGATTTTTATATCAGGGAATATTTGTCATGCATTGTCAGTTTGTACAGAGCCTTCCTATTTTTTGCAACTTTTGAATCATTTTAGTTCAGAATATTTATGGCGTCAGTTAACTCAAGTTTTACCTATTCGGTTTAGAGGCATTCCCTCATATAAAAATAGTTCTCACTATTTTATTTTCAACCTTTGCTAAAAACATGGCAAGCTCATATTCCGTGCATAATATTATTGCATAAATTATGGATAACATGGCAAAACATCTCAGCTTTATTATGTACCTTTTCATTTTCAATTTGTTTCTTATATTTGCTTTTTGCACTTATGTAAAACCTTTGTTAGAAATAAAAACTTTTAAAATCATGTATATGGTGTAATGTGGATCGCACAGGATGGCAGAATTTTGCTGTCTTTCAGTGTCTTATATATCTTTTTGCTTCATGTCAAGTATCTTAACTATATGATTAGCATTTATCATTATTAAGAATATTACATATAATCAAATAAAATTAAAAGAGTTGGATCTCCTGATAAAAATGGAAATATTCTTAGAGTGAAGTTTTTCCCACATTGTTTGAATACCACTTAATAAAAAGAAACAATTTTATTTAGGGTAAATGTTTATGGAATGTGAAACTTCCCAGTAGTATAGTCACACTGGAATCTGTGGACATTATGCAGATGGGTTTGCGATTAATAGCTGTTGCTTTAGGTGATGGAACAGTTCATTTTTATCAGGACAAGTTTCTGGTTGATGTCTTAGCTGCTGAAGATGTTGTATCAGCTATTCGATTTGGAAGATTTGGACGTGAAGATAACTCCCTCGTTATGTGCATGAGAGGTAATAAAATTATTTTAAATAAATAATTTCTCTGTCTCTATGTATAATTTTTGAAACAACACTTTTGATACTGTATTCATTAAATGTGCGGTTTTTGTAATAAACTGAATTCTCAGTCTGATGAATAAGTTATTGTATTTGTATAAATTAATTTTGTACATAAACTTATCATTATTAAGAATATTTCTCATTTATAAAGATTATAAACTTTATAAATGAGAATCACAAATTGATAAAGTTATTTGTTACAGGTGGCGGTTTAGCAGTGAAAATTTTGAAGAGAACTGCTAAGTTCCAGAGTCAGGACTATTTCTCCTCTGCTCGAGATCTTCAAAATACTAAACTAAACCTACCTAAGAAAACAAAATTGTTTGTTGATCAGACCATGAGGGAAAGAGAACATTCCATCAGTAATTCAATGCATAGCATACTTGTAGTTTAAAACTTGATTTTATTAGTAATATGTATTAAACGGGATTATGTTTGAATTTTTTCCAGTAATGCACAGAGCTTTTCAACATGATTTATATCGTCTCCGTCTTACAACTGCCAGGGCATATGTGAATGCCTTAACATCTAGTCAGAATCCAGTATCATATGGTGCCATTGATCCTTTAAAACTATCGGCCCAAGTATGTTTGCCTAATGCTTATTTTTTATATTTTTTCCTGAGGTTAATAATAGTTTATTTATATAAATTTCATGTTTAAGGTTTTATCAACATGTTATTATTTTTTATAAATATATGTATATTTTTAGTTAGGAAATTCATACATTTAAATTTCTAAGAATAAGTATGTTTTATTAGAATACTTAACTTGAATAATTATGCAGTAGAATTCCAGTAACGCCCATACCTTAGGACCGAGGAATTTTCAGAGATCATGTCTTTTTGAGTTTGTTTGCATTTTCTTCTTCCTAGCTTGCCCTGTCTTTACAAAGCAGCTATTAAAGCATACTCATACACATCAATGTCTCAAATGAATTAGAAAAACTTGTTAGTAACAAATTGCTGCTCGTGTGGTCTTGAAAATGGGTGATACTATATATATTATCACAAATTTTTATTTTGACACAAAATTATCCGAACCTTATTTCCACTCAATATGCTGCTGAAAATTAATCTGTTATAGACAAAAAGTAAGAATTTAGACCCAAATCCACAAAGATCCAAAAGAAATGAAATTAAAAACAATAAAATTTCAGAATTCCCAAAAAGTATTAAAAAAATAAGCAGAAATGTGGCAGCAGCATCACGATATTTGTGTAATGCTGTCTGATCCTCATTCAGTGGCGCTTCAGTGTATTAAAAATTAGTTAATTAAAATTTGTTATAGTTTCTACATCATGAGTGTGATATGCTTTGTTTTTCCTAATGTACCAGGAATTTGAACATGGTGTGAGATTATTTAGCAGTTATTTTTTCCCCAAAACGAAATTTCCAAACAGTTTCCACAAAAGGGAAAACAGTTTCCCCAAAAAGAAAAATTTTTATTCCCAAAAAATTATATCCCCTCCATCCCCCCAAAATATTCTAAAATATGAAGCGAAACATATTTTTATCTTTTTCTCTAAATTAAAGACACATGTTCACATCACCAATATGCATGCTCTCTGCACTTCTTAACGAAATGACTGACTGACTGATAAACCTATCGCCAGATTACCACTGAGATCAGTAGTTTATCTGGCTCAATCAAATTTATGCCAATGGACGCAATAACATAATACTATCTTCATATAATGTCCGCCGTAAGGAGGAGCGAGGACGGATAAAAGACAGGAAGTCCAGCAACGCAAGAGCTCACTAATAAGTAAACAGGCCCAGTTTAGGCGTGACTAAGTGGGAGTCACAATAAATGAGTAACAATTGTGAAGAAAAAATACTGAGTATATAAAATGCATAAAAATACAAATTAAATGAAGTAAAGCGTAATAAAGATACGAGATATATACACACTATGTACACTATTTACAATGTGGGCACTAGGTGGGAAAGTTCAACTCCCTGATAAGGTGGCCCGCAAATGGACGCAAATTGGAGTCCTCATCCAAGATTTAAGATGTCAAAATTAAGATGTCAGAATGTCAAAATTACTCAACGAAATAATGTAAGTGAAGGGATAAATATAGTAGAAAGAAAGGGATAAGTGAGAGGGAGTATTTTTCTGGGAAAAGGGATAAACTCTTTTGTAAAAATGCATTGAAATATTTTATGGGGAGAAAGTGCATCCAACAATGTAATTATAATATAATTTCTGTGTTCTTAAATGATAAAAGTAAATACCCTGTTTATCTTGGCAATAAGTTTTCCTAAAATGAATTCCTGTGGGTCTCAAACTCGCGATCTGGGGTTTCGCATGCGGTCCTCAAAGGAATTTAATTGACCCGCAGATACATTTATTGTTGTAAATGCCGTGATTATTGTTTTACGGACATAGAGATATGGGCTGATCTTATGTGTGCGGAAGATATTAAACTTTATTTAAATACTTCAACCTGCCAACCCTTGATGTCAGTCCGAGACAGCCACTCAAGAGGTCGGGCATAGTCAACAGCTGGATAGTGGATATTTCTCCACCCCCAGCCTTTGCAGTCAACTCCGGAAACACTTCAAATTGGTTTCAATCACTGTCACGTCAAGCCCCCATATAACATTGACCGGTTGTTACCGTTGTCAAGGCCAGGGGCATCAGGGTAAACATTGTCATAGCCCTCCCTGTTGCTCAAATTGTGCAGGAGAGCATACCTACACAGCTTGCTCAAGTGACAAGAAAGACTGCGCGAACTGACAAAGCCACAATCAACAACAGGGCACAAAATTTGACACAGCACATAATGCCAAAGATCGAGACTGCCCAACTTACAGGCTAAAGCTAGCTGAGTTACTTTCAAGAGCATATTGTCTCAGATTTCGACACTTCCAGGAAATACCACTCATCAAAATTCTTTACAGCAAATAACTAATCTACGAATGCTACAGATAAACCTTCAACGAGCAAAAATAACTCTGCCACATGCGTTAAAAATAGCCCAGGAAGAACATATAAACCTGATTTTCACACAAGAAACGAGAAAGCTATAATTATCAACGGGTCTATTTTCTCTCCTCTCCACAACAGCTAAATCAGCAATAATCTGTAATGGTCCTCTAACCCCTGTCCCTGCCCTCACCACGCAACACACAGTTAACATAAAACTAGAAACTTTAAAATCCTCTCTTTATTTAACAGCTGTATATGCACCTCCTTTTCTAGAACTCCATGATGTGCTGCTAGAATTGGATAACCTGAACTTCTCCCTATCAACAAAACACCTCATAGCAGGCGATTTTAACGCCCACAGCCCATCTGGGGCGCTAAATCAGAAAATCATATGAGGTGTTTTGTTGATAGAGGCAGAATACTACTTGAATCTCTACAAGAAAAGAGCTTAATATTATTTAACACCCCGGATAGCCAGCCAACTTTTCAAACCCTACAGGCTCAAAGCTGGATAGATCTTACACTAGCGACGCCCGGTATTGAACCTATAGTTTCTAACTGGAAAGTCTTGGACCAAGAATCTTTAAGCGATCATCGCTACATAACCTTACAAGAACTTAACTTCACTGTAAAGAGACGTTTCAAAACAACGTATGGAGGCCACAGCAAATTTAAAACGAAAATAACAGCTTGCTCGCAGGATATTATACGCTACTTTGAAATAGCAAACTCTAATGAAGAAGTAAATGCCTCAACAGACAGTTTCATTCAAACAGTGACAGACATCTGTATCTCAAGCTACAAACAAAAAGCCACTTTCAAAAAATACAAGCTACATTGTTGACACTATTCCCTCACAATAGAAAGGAGCAGAGGGAAGCTCTCAGACGGCGGTACAAAGCCTGAGTAAAACAAATTCACTCTGCTAACAAAAATGTAGTCAGTTCATTTGTAAATGCTTGTTGGAGATCAGCAACATTCCCAAATGTATTTTTAAAAAAAGCAGAATTAGTATTATTCTTAAAGAAGAACAAATCACAAGTCAATCCACACTCATATAAACCAATATGCTTAATACCTGCTCTCGGAAAGCTTCTAGAAAAGTTAATATTAGCGAGATTAAACTACCATCTGAGCAAAAACAAAGCTAATGCATCAAAAACAATTCGGCTTCATGGCTAATAAATCCATACATCATGCATTCCAGAATCTGCAATACTACAACAGAATGAAAGTCAGAATCTACATTCCCTAGTTACCTCGCTGGACATACAAGCAGCCTTCGAATCGATATGTTGGAAGCATGCATTGCAAATTTTATCAACGATAAACTGCTCAGATGGAATTCTGAGGTTATTAAGAGATTATCTAAGTAACAGATCGCTGCAGTATACCTTCAACACTGGCATTCAGACGGACAAGATCACTAGAGGATGCCCACAAGGGTCTTGTTTAGGTCCAGTCATTTGGAACCTAATCGCCAAAGAAGCGCTTAAAATGTTTAACAACTCCCCTCCATACGCATGCCCTGGCCTATGGCGATGATATCTTGTTAATCATCGCCATAGACACAAGACGTAGAGAAATCGAGGAAAACTCAAACAATTCACTTATATTTTATTCAAAGAATGGGCGGACAAATTTCAGCTGAAAATATCAATACAAAAATGCAAAGCATTTCACATTCCAAAACCGGGAAAATCAGAAATCCTAGATACCCAATAATTCGGATATCTAATGAGAAAATAAAAGTATAAAATAATATCTTTTATCTGGGCGTCATAATAGATAACAGACTCTCCTGATATCAACACATAAAATATATCAGAGACAAGCTCATAATCTTGAGCAACTATCAGAAATTCACAGCTGCTAGCAACTGGGGGATATCCCCAAAATTACAAAAACTATGGTACCATACAGTAACAGAAAAAATTATGTTACATGGCGTTTCAGCTTGGGGCAAAAACCTTATTACGCATGCCCAAAGACAATTACTTTCTGTACAAAGACTTTTTCTCCTGGGAATCACAAAGGCATATCGAAGGGCCCCCACAAGCGCTTTAAATGTTGTAGCAGGTATCCCACCGATCGCCATTACAATAGAACAAGAGGCAACAAAAGTAAAAATAGCATGGCTGCGCCAAACCAGCTTTTTCAATAATACGATGTACCATCCAACAGATTACGAAGAACATAAGCACAATTTAGATCTACATCCAAACCATCTCTACACAAAAAAACAAATAGTGAATTCCTCCAGTACACCATTTCCCAATCCGCTATACGAACGGGTCAAAAACTAAAATGGGTGTCGGAAGTACCTACTTTGGCTAAAGAATTTATTTACTCTTTAAAACATGGCAGGCAAAGCTTAATACCACAAATTCTGTATTCCAAGCTGAACTGTTAGCCATTAGAGAAGCTGAAATTTGCCAGGAAACAACAAGAAAAAAGCGTTATAATTTCCGACAGTGCTTCAAGCTTACAAGCAATAATCGGACTGAGCCGCTCACCACTAGTAAGGGAAATCCAACGCTTTCTGTACTATTTACAAGAGGAAACCTGCTCCAAGCTTGCTCGCAGGATATTATACGCTAATAAATGTGCTTCATTGCCCACTGTGCTCACATGGGCACGCGCCCATAAGAATAAATAGGAATCATAAGAATAAATTTTATTAACTTTTCATCAGACTTATGCGTTCAATCAATTACGAACCCGTACGCACGCAAAAATATGTTGTACAACAAGGAAAAAATTATATTCCTACCTACAACTGGGTTAAAATTCTGGTGAATGGGCTGATTATTGGAATTTTCATGGTACTCCTTACATGTAAAGTGAATATGAGCCAGTTCCCTAAAAATTTTCTAAAATGCATCCTTCTCTACAGGTAGATAGCTCTCATGTGCTATGCCGTAATCAATATACTAACCTAACCTATTTACACTAGCCCCCCCCTCAAATTGGATTTTTCATAGAATTTCCCAGCATGGTTAATTAGCATAGATGTTAGGATATCCCCAATTAAAAAAATCTGATGTGTACACCACGACTTCCTTGTACGGAATATTAAATTATACGCATTTTTTCTTGTATTTCATTTAAACTTATTGGATTGAATTAAATCTACTTCGTCGATAGCGAACCAACCACAATAGGATAAATGCACTCTTTAAAATTCACTATATTTGTTTACCATAGCGATACACTGGCGCTAGGTTCACTTAACACCGTTATATTTCGTTCATATTATAACTCAGAATGCATAAAATTTATATCATTTGAAGAATTATATAATTGTTGCCACATGTTCTATTCAATTATTATTATAAATCTAGAACAATGTATAAAAGAAATTAAGCAGACAAAACTAAAGAGAAACCGTTTTTCACAGACGATTCAGTATTTCTCATTCAATTAAGTAAAGTTCTCACTTCTCGACAAGGCAAAAATACATAAAAACTCAAAATATCTATATTAAAAATTACGAAGTAAATCTTAAAACACTTACTTCCTCGAAAAAATTCCAAAAAGGATTAAGCATGATTTAATTCGCAATAATAAATGAAAGCGTTATCTTTGTTCTTGCGAAGCTTAGTCACTCTAAATTGGCAACAAATCTACTATTTTGCTCTTTCAAATGTAAGCAAACATATCCGCCATGTTATTTAAAAATTAGGCTTAACCGCACTTAAACAGCTTTTAAATTGCTGATAATTCTAAAAATATTGCACACAGATTTACTAAAGGCATAAAAACCTTAACCGAAAGATAAAAATAACATAATTCAATCACTTTTAAAGCAAAAAATGCACAATTTACAAACATATAGGAGTTAAGAAACTGAGATCACTGAGCCGGGTAACAGAGTGGATATATATATATAAATATATCTATATACGTTTGGTGCGACCGATTGCAACCAAAATACGAGGTGCACATCTACATGTTAAAACAGTCTTATATATAAAATTGCAAGTTCTGAGGCTACTCTCGTTTTGAGTTATGCGAGATACATACGTACGTACAGACACCATTAAAAATTCTCTTCCGAATTTCTTTTAAAGCAGTTTTATAATTTTTTTTTTTTTTTTTTTTTTTTTTGGAAGGAAAAGGGTCTTTTATTCTGTCCTTAAGTACAGATGTCACGCAAAAATATCGTTAAATTGCATTCGATAGCGGTCAAAATGAATATTTTCGTTGAAATATGCTGCCTGAAACTTTTTGCGATTACAATGCTTCCCTTTTTACTTCGTACAAGGAAGTAAAAATTGACAACAGCAGCTATTTCGCTAAAATGCTGACATTAACGAAAGATTTTCAACATATAATAACGTCACATGAACTTTCTTGAGCATCTAATAAGTATTAGAAGCTGAAACAGTGTTTAAGCTCCATGATCCTTATTATATTGTTGCCTGCGTACGGGTTTGTAATAAATTGAATGCGCATGTCTGATAAATTTATAATAATTAATAAAACGTTAGTAAAATTTATTCTTATCACAAGAAATAAAACAAAATGTTGAAATTTTTCCTCACAGATATTCGCACGATATCTCACAGTAGTAATATTTTAAACTACTAAAACTTTAAATAGAACTGAATTCAAAACAAAGAGAAAGCTAATCCGATCTCACCGCGAATTCGCTACAGTGAACAACAAGAACTACGTAAACAACTGAATTGAGATGTTTTCTTCCAGCTTTTATAAGCCTTTTAATCATGCACGGGAACATTCTGGTATTTTCTCGATAGCAAAAGAGTACATTACGAGATATCTATTTATTAAAATGTTAAATGCGCGTGCTCCTGTATTTTAATTTTTCCGGCGTAGCTTTCTCTTCAAATAAGTCTCGTGCTGCATTGCACGGGAATATAAAGCAATTTTAATTACAAATCCGTAACAATATAAGTAATTTTGCTTGGTAATATTTAAGAAACTCTTAAACAACACTGTACTGTATGATAAGCATATTAATTGGTTATTTTGCTGTCAACTTATGTGTGAATATTTTCATATAATAATAAAATAAATAAATAATGTAAAAATGCACTTTACTTATATCTTAAAAAGAATGATGCTTTTTTTTTTGTAAGGTTTATCCTAAGTTTTTAACAGTTATCTTTAGTCAAAGCTACTTTCCTGTCGCCTTCTAATTTCAGCTTACAAATTTCCACGCAGAGTGTGGTTTTACGATAGAATCGCGGTTAATGCAAATGAAGGAAGAGCAGTACTTAAGTCAAGTTCCACTAATTTCGTTAGAAAGCCAGAGATTCTGACTAGCGCGCTTTTGCCTTTTGGCTACACTCTCTCTAAGCTATTATTACGCTCGGCCATATTTCAGGCCCTTGATAGCTTCGCCGTTTAGAGCATTTAGGGGCCAACTCCTGTAGAATTTTCATAGCTTCGGCTATATCTTTTTTACTTTAGTTAAGTTTGATTTCCTGTGTAGTTTTGAGTTCAAGCCCAAGTGGAGGCTTTGCTGTACGTCCTGAGAAAAGGGCCATCTGTTAATCCTTATTTTGAGCAAGAAAGGGTAATTAACCCTTCTAGAGTTTACGTTTCTGTTTCCTGAGTTAAAGCGATTATTCGTTTACCAGTTCTCAAGGTTCCACACGCATAGCTATAAATTCTAGGTTGGAAATCTATAGTTTTATGAATTCCAAGTATTTTATGGTGATATCTTTTTGTTCATTTTAGATTTAAGAATTACTTATGTAGAATGTAGTATTATTCTTTAAAAAAATCTTTTTCTAAATCATTAAAGCAAGCTTGCATGATATCTAATGATCAAAGTAAATACCTTCCTAGTGATAAAAATTAATATCTGTTATAAGTTGTTGTGGGAAAAAAGGGGGGGGGCTTTAAGAGTATTAATTATAGAATTAATGTGCCATGTTATTTGGCTAGTGATATGAATATTTCAAAATGGTTACTGTAGTACATTTTTATACACCATTCTAAAATTCTGTAAGTAATCAAATGTATAGACGATGGATGAATGTCTTTGTCTTATTAGTATTTAGTGCTTTAAAATGATGTACTAGCAGTCAGTGCTTTTAAAAATGTGCTCAATTAGTGTAACGTACTAACAAGCTAACTGGTAAAAGATACAAGGGGTATAAAAATTCTGGAATGGTATGCACAATTTTAAAAACATTTAACTTTGCTTAACTTCTCTTATAAAATATCCGTTTGGATATATTTAAAAAGAATTCATTTAACCTGAGTCAATCGCACTGAATTTTTCTCAATTTAGAGTATTTAAGATTTCGGTGTCTTTACCAAATTAAAGTAAAACATGTGTCTAATATATTTTAAATACTATAAAAGTATATTTGGTATTTTAATATTTTGGTATTTGGTATTTTAGTATGTACGGATAAAAAAATAAATATAGGTGATACTTTTTAATAAAGGAACTTATATAAATGATTTTTTTCGCTTTCTTCATAGATTAATACAGACATCTTAAGAGCTAAATTATTTCTTTTTTTTGTGAGTATAGCATCCGAATTAATGTATGATAATAAATAAAAATACAAAATATAATCTTATTCAAAATATATAAATATTATGTACACATATTTGATTTATTAAAAATATGTGTTAATACTAATGCTGTTCATAAAATAACATATTTTTTTAAGGTTCAAGGCTTAGGCCCAAAATTTATGCTGTATCTGGAACTTCAGAATACCTCTAGAAATAAACCTTCAGCAAACCTATTTCTGACCTTCCACTGTGATGCTCGAATATACAGAATACAGAAAACTTATATACCAGTATGTAAAATATTATTTTAAAAAATGAAGATGGTAATTTATTTTTATTTCTATAATAGATTTCTGTATGTTGTAGAGACATTAGGTTAATTGGAAAAGCCGGAGAGATGAAAAATGAACAATCGCCTTCGCCGGGACTCGAACCACGGACCTCTGGAATACCGGCCCAGCGTGCAGAACCCCTACACCACGAAGGCATGCTAGGAGGGCGGGAGAAATACCTTATAATGTTATTAATTTAATTATTTAAAAATCCCTCTTTTTTTTTTTTTTTTTTTTTTTTTTTTTTTTTTTTTTAGTTTTATATTTTCAATCAAGAAAAATAATTATCTTTTCAATTTTATTTAACTATGCAATAACTATTATGGTTATCTTGAAAATAGAGAAGCAAAATTCATTTACTTTAAAATAATCGTTGATTTTTTGCAGTTGATAACACTTATTAAGTGTATCATGTGTATGACTATAAAGAAAAATTGTTTTTTTACCAAAGTGAAGAAATTATCATCATGGTGTTGCACTTCGTGTCATTTTTTTTATTTGCATTGCCGTTTGGATTTAAAATCAAACTGGTGCTATATGTACTCATGTGAAAAATGAAAAGAATTTGCACATTATTCCGAATTTCTGAAAAACTAATGGACAGATTTTAATGAAATTTGATATGAATATACATTTATAAAAGAGAAGGAGATGTACCATTCAAAAGTCATTTTATGTATCCGTGATTATCAGTGAAGGTCATAGTGCAGGGACATTCAAAATAAATGTTGTGATATGGAACTGAAAACTAGTCTCACAACCAGACAGGTCGTGCAGCGTGACGGCATACTGGACAGGAGGCAGTTGAGAAGACTCTCTAGCAGTCGATCCTATCCCATTCCTGCAGCAAGGCAGTTTTTAACTTCGAGAAATATGGAGAGGTGAAATGGAGAGGGAAATGGAGAGGTGAAATTGCCTAAACATGGTCTAAGGTCAGGCGATCTGGCTGGCCAGTCCATGCGGTGAATGTCTTCACTTTCCAGATAACCATCGACCAGCTTAGTCCTTTATGGACAAGTTTTGTCCATTAACACGAACCCAGGGCCAACTACGGCCTTAAGAGTTGAACATAGGGCTGTATGATCTCCTCTCTATACTTCATAACAATCAGGGAGCCTTTATCGAACACAAATGGAGGGATGTGCGGCCTTCCAACATAATGTCTGCCCAGACCACTACACCTCCACCACCGTAATGATCCTTTTTCCTGATGACGGAGGGATGGTATCGTGTTCCATGCTCTCTCCAGATACAGGTACGTTGAGAATCGGTGTTCAAGCTGAATCTCGACTCATCTATAAAAAGCATGGTGCCCCACTGAAGTCTAGCCCAAGGCGCATGTAGTGTGCACCATGCTAAACGTACTATTTTGTGTGTTACAGTAAGCGAGATGCATACAGCAGGTCTTGTGGCTTACAGCCTTATCTCATGAAGCGTTTGGACATCCATAGACCACAAAACTGATGTTCCAGCGGCAGCATACAGCTCAGTCTTGTGTTGTAAACTTGTGTCGCCGCGCTAAAAATGCCAAATAACGATCCTCATTCGTCATTGTGAATCTTGGTCGACCTTGTCCAGGTCTTCTGAATACGGATCCAGTGTCCGGAAATTGTTTCCGTAAACTACAGGAGACAGTGGGCGTTACATTGGCGTGCTTTCAATCTACCAACAATTCTCCATCTCATTCCGTTATCCATACATTTGTGGCTACTCATTTTACCTGACACCTTATAAAAATATATCCAACTCTTGCGAGAAACATCCCGAATGTCGTGAAGAAGTACAAGCCTTATGCGCTTATATCCCCTTCACAGTCACAGCTCCGCCCTAATACGCTTACGTATTAAACTCTGAATATTTTCATAATTCTTCGGTGCGTACCTTTGGTTCAGTACTTTTTGTAAACATAGACATAACTTGCATATTCTCTTAATTTTGCACATGGGTGTATAATGCCGATGATAAAAGATTGTTCTTAAACAAGTCAAAGATTTTACACTTCGGGTTATTGCCTTGATACTATTTTTGCTTCAGTAATGTTTCAGTAATAGCTAGAGATCAAACTTGAACTATGTTTTTAAACTAATGTTTAACTATGTTACTACTAATTTCTGTCAAGAGTTATTTTAATAATATACTGATAGCTTGTCATGTTCTGGTATAAATCTTTACAAATGAAAATTTTTTCAATACGAAATTAAACATTTTAAATATATTTGAGCATATCTACAATTTTCGATAAAATATAGTTGATAAAGAGCTAAGCAAAATCAATATCCGTTAGCTGGGCTTATAAATATAATGCAACATTTCAGGCATATATTGTTACTATTGCTAATTTTGTCTTTCATTCAAAAGAAGGAGATGATAGGTAGATAATATAGATAATTTAAATGGATGCCTGAATTTAAAAATTTGAAATGATACTTGACTTTTTAGTGAAAGGCTAACAGCAGTTGTAATTGTGATAAATTTATCTACTTTGAGTATTGCAAGTACTGAGGAAAATTATGAGCAATAAAATTAATTTGATATGTAATCTCTCTAACAAATACATAAAATAAGGCCATAAAAATTTTATTTTACAGTATTTAGGGCACTTCATTTACAGCTATACTTGTCTCATCTTCGGTTCCATTATTCAAAATATCTATGGAAGCTCTTGAAACACAAATTTTTCAGCTGCCTCATAGCTTCATGTTTTATCGTCTTGCTGTTAGCAATAAAAATTGTCATGTTATTCAATAACCTTTTTGCACTTCGGAAACAAAATGAAATTACAAGAGGCTAAGTCTAGTGATTAGGAGCGTGATCTGGCATGGTAATCGAATTGCGGGCCAGAACTTGCGGACGCAATCACTTCTGAATGTACTGGCACATTATGAAGATGCACCATCGCGTAAATTCGATCGCATATGATCCTTTGAGGTCTTTGGAACCTTCATGTAAAAGGCAGCATTCATTGCATGTTCTTCTGGAAGAAACTCATGATAGCCAATATTTTGAATGGAAAAGAAGGAAAGGGGAGGGGAAAGAACAGCAGGTTTTTGATCGGCTTTTTCGACATTTTTTCATTTATAGTTCGTTTCTCTTTTCTTTAGTGTGTTATCTCCATAAACTGCTCTCAGTATTTCGTGAATTTCCTGAGAGTTTTCTAAAAATATTTGATGGAGAGTCATTTTATTATCTGATTATGAATGGTTACTGTTGAGATGAGCACAAACGGTCCACCACAAAAAGAATCTCACCTTTGGCTGTACGCTTACCTTAATGGTTTAATGGTTACTGGCATTTTAGTGGGTCCCCCGCAAATAGAACAGACAATGTGCATCGCCAAACATCACCAAGATTATTCTAGTAGCTCAGTTTGCATATTTTCTAGACGGACAACATATCTTAAAATAGTAGTTTTATAAAAGGAATTATTTTATGGAAACATTAACAATTTAGAAACTAAATATAAATACTTATGTCAAGCATAATTATGCATAAAATTGTATTAAAACATTACCATAAAATATGATATAACAAAATTCAATATACTTCATGTGTACATTGCATTTCATTCATACAATTTATTTATTTGTGTGCATATATGTTTGTGTAAGATAAAATTTTAACTTCTGTTTTAGCTCTTTTTTAATTTGATTTATTTTCTGAAATGCATCAGCATAAAATAAATCTCTATCGTATGTTACTTATTGCTAATTTGTATACTATACAAAAATGACAGCAAAAGTGAAATTGAAATTTTTATCTAATGATAAACAACATGTAGTAGTTGATATTAATCAGATAATATTGTGTCGCTCTGTTAGGAATTATAGCAACTTCACCATTTGTGTATCCTACCATAAAGTTAGGCAGTTGTTGAGAAACATATCTGTGATTCACAGTAAAGGAATCATGGAAATTCTACTTCATGTCTGAATATTTCTTAAATATTGTAATAATAATATTATAAAATATAATGTGCACATACTTTTATTCATTTATATAATTTATGAATTATAAAATTTAAAGTATTTCTGTCTTTTCCAATAGTAGGATTTAAATGTGCCATATTATTCTATCTTTGATCAGGTTAATACTGCACATGACAGAATGTTCATGAAAAAACGTACAGTGCCTGCTGTTTATTAAAATCACATCTATTCTATTGGAATTATTAAGTAGCCGAGTTGAATCTCTTCAGGGACAATTTTTTTTAATTAAAAAAATAAATAATGTTTTTGATATTCTTTTGGTATTTAATATTTTTATTTATTTGAATAATTTAATATCTTTAGTACAAGCAATATGTTTATGCATCTGATGAAAATATGCCACTTAGGATTTGAGTCTATTAATAGTATTATAGCAAATTTACCTTCTGAATGTGAATAATTCTTCAATTACAGCCTATTTATTGATACATTTCAGATCCCTTTTTTGGCACCTGGACTTCCATATAATTTTGTGACTCCAGTAGAATGTGTGAGTGAGATGAACATATCAGATATAATTAAGGTAAAAATAAGTAATACTTTGTTTTTACTGCATACTACAATAATTTTCAAAATGTACATAGTCAAATTAAATTTTTAAAGTTGTTATTGATAAGGTACATGAAAAGGATTACAACAATAATAAATTTGATGCCTAATGTATGTCCCTTTTAATTTCATAATTATGCATCCTTCATCACACAACAGTAAGTAAATGGTGTTTTTCTTTTATATTTTTTGTAATCGCCGATTTCGAAGTTATTGTTTTCCTGATAGCATTCCATAATAAGAACTAATACATCAATGTTATTAATTAAATCAATATGAACTGGAGATTACTGTTTTGTATTTGTCACCTGATCAATATCCGTTAGCTGGGCTTATAAATATAATGCAACATTTCAGGCATATATTGTTACTATTGCTAAGTTTGTCTTTCATTCAAAAGAAGGAGATGATAGGTAGATAATATAGATAATTTAAATGGATGCCTGAATTTAAAAATTTGAAATGATACTTGACTTTTTAGTGAAAGGCTAAAGTTATGATTAGCTTGCAGATCTAATAAGTATTAGAAGCTGAAACAGTGTTTAAGCTCCATGATCCTTATTATATTGTTGCCTGCGTACGGGTTTGTAATAAATTGAATGCGCATGTCTGATGAAACGTTAGTAAAATTTATTCTTATCGCAAGAAATAAAACAAAATGTTGAAATTTTTCCTCACAGATATTCGCACAATATCGCACAGTAGTAATATTTTAAACTACTAAAACGTTAAATAGAACTCAATTCAAAACACAGAGAAAGCTAATCCTATCTCATCGCGAATTCGCTACAATCAACAACAAACACTAAGCAAACAACTGAACAGATATTTTTCTCCGGCTTTTATAAGCTTTTTAATCATGCAAGAAAACATTCTGGTATTTTCTCGAGGTTACTGCAAAGCAAAAGAGTACGTTTACGAGATATCTATTTATTAAATGTTAAATGCGCGTGCTCCTGTATTTTTAGTTTTCCGGCGTAGCTTTCTCTTAAAATAAGTCTCGTGTTGCATTGCACGGGGATATAAAACAATTTTAGTTACTATTCTGCTAAAAACAGCAAACTAAATACATAAACCGCAACTCTGCCCCCTTCCCAAGGCCTGAACGCCCCGGGCAGTACAATCCCTGGTCAGGAAGCCAAACTTACAACTAAGGTATCAATGCAATAATAAACATTACACTAATGTAACAAACAACATAAACAACAATTGCAATAAATAACTTAAAACAAATCAAATACTGACAAGGGCATGTTGGAGCCAACTTTGGCATTAGAAGGCTCATGTTTGAGTTCCATGAAAGTCATGGATAATCATGCCATTTTCTGCTTACTTCTCAGTGCATTTTAAAGATATTCTTGATGCTCAGACAATGAAATGTTATATTATTCTGAATATCTCTGGCAAATGAAGGATTAATATTTAAAACATTTTCATCGTATATTATAAAACTGATGACGATTTCATCCTTGCTTGGCATAATAACTACCTAGTAGCTAGTTATATGCAGTAAATAATTCTTAGAATATTTCATTTAGAGACACCAAAAATTGCTCTTAAAGATGAGTTTGTGCGTAGCAGATATATCAGTGAGGATCAAGGGGTGGTAAAATCAAAAGATCATAAGAAGTTTAACATCCACATGCAGCGATTTGCTTCTCAGGTTTGCTTTGAGCTGCTTGATAGTTTCCCCAGTCTGATAGGGCTTTTCGTATTTCATTTTAAAATTTAGAGAAGAATTAAAAAATTAAACCACATTGTAGAGTCATTAGGGTAATTGGAATCACACGAAATGAAAAATATGCAACCGCCTTCGCCGGGAATCGAACCAGGGACCTCTGGAATACCGGCCCAGCATGCTACCGTCACACCACGAAGGCACGCTAGGGAAGTGGGAGAAATACCTTACATACTCCCCTTTTTAAAGGGCGACAAGGGTTTTAGGGGACCCGGTCGCCAAATCCTGGGTGCGGAGAATCATCATCCACAACCTTTTTAGTTCGGGCGCCACTGTAGAGTCATTAGGTCAATTGGAAGCAGACGAAATGAAAAATATGCAACCGCCTTCGCCGGGAATCGAACCACGGACCTCTGGAATACCGGCCCAGCGTGCTACCGTTACACCACGAAGGCACGCTAGGGAAGTGGGAGAAATACCTTATAACATTAGCTCTCTTATTCTGGAAACCATTCAAGACTTATTTTGGTAAAAAATTTATAAATCATACCTTCATAATAATAATTACATGTAATACTGAGGTTTTAATTCTATTGCTAAAAGCTATACAATTGTTTTCCATATCTTGTCATCATAAGATTGTAATTTGTGGTCAAAATGTTTTTCACCTTATGCCCATGCACATCTTTTGGGATTATCACATGACAACAGTAACAAACAACAGTAGAAAAGCATTTTACAGGAAACGAGATTTTTTCATGACTGCTTTAAACCAATAAATGGTTTCCTAGCCGAAGTTGTTCCACTGGAAGATATGTCCTGTGGACATTTTTTAACTCTTGAGAAAATGCTTTATTTATAGCTCTGTCCATCGTAGGTTTCATGGAAATCAACCAATCAGATATCCCAAAAACGAAAATTTCTGGAAATGTTTTTTCGATGCGTAGTTATGATTAGCTTGCAGATCTAATAAGTATTAGAAGCTGAAACAGTGTTTAAGCTCCATGATCCTTATTATATTGTTGCCTGCGTACGGGTTTGTAATAAATTGAATGCGCATGTCTGATGAAACGTTTGTAAAATTTATTCTTATCGCAAGAAATAAAACAAAATGTTGAAATTTTTCCTCACAGATATTCGCACAATATCTATCGCACAGTAGTAATATTTTAAACTACTAAAACGTTAAATAGAACTCAATTCAAAACACAGAGAAAGCTAATCCTATCTCATCGCGAATTCGCACTACAATCAACAACAAACACTAAGCAAACAAACTGAACAGATATTTTTCTCCGGCTTTTATAAGCTTCTTAATCATGCAAGAAAACATTCTGGTAATTTTAATTTCCTCGAGGTTTACTGCAAAGCAAAAGAAGAGTACGTTTACGAGATATCTATTTATTAAATGTTAAATGCGCGTGCTCCTGTATTTTTAGTTTTCCGGCGTAGCTTTCTCTTAAAATAAGTCTCGTGTTGCATTGCACGGGGATATAAAACAATTTTAGTTACTATTCTGCTAAAAACAGCAAACTAAATACATAAACCGCAACTCTGCCCCCTTCCCAAGGCCTGAACGCCCCGGGCAGTACAATCCCTGGTCAGGAAGCCAAACTTACAACTAAGGTATCAATGCAATAATAAACATTACACTAATGTAACAAACAACATAAACAACAATTGCAATAAATAACTTAAAACAAATCAAATACTATCAAATAATAAACACAAATAAAATGAAATACAAATTTAGAAGGGAGAAAAAAAAGACCATGGTCCTTATACTATTTACAATTATATACACTACGTACTATGACCATAGTAAGGAGCTAACCTGCTACAATTTTAATTAGTTGTTCTAAAACTAGCTAAATAAATTCAAAAACCGTAACACTGCCCTCTTTCCAAGTACTGCACGTCCCATGCAGTACAATCCCTAGACAGGAAGCCAAACTTACAACTAAGGCAACAAATACTATCAAATACTAAATCCAAATTTAGAAACAAAAAGGACCATGGTCTTATATTATTTATAATTATATACACGACGTACTATGTTAGTAATGAGCTAATCTGTCGTAATGATTGACTTTAGGATTAGAGTTCGATCATTTACGGATCCGAACAACCTTAATGGGATTGTAGCTGCCACAGCGGAAAAAGATGTACTACTCTAGCTGCCGCCACAGCCCAACAGGCTAACGGCATTTTTTAAAATCATAATCAAAGAAAAAACGTTTACAGATACATTGCAAGATTGAGTTTAGACGAACTTTGCACTACGTGCAGCGTATAGATTCATATTGAAATGAGTAGATGCAATTATAAGATCAATGACAGTTAAAACATTATCACTGGATTAAACTATTAACATAAGCTAAAAATAAAACATTAGAAGAAAAATACGTACAAAACTTAGCTAAAGATAACATACATCGCTATATACTTGCAGTACCGGAGTAAACTAACATTAACAATATGAGGAACATTTTATACAGGTTATTTACATTATATAATTAAAGCTGAATATAGTTTTAATGTTTGTATTATGCAGCACCATACCATCTATGACACTATTGTTATACATTCAACAATTATTCATTGAGTAACACTATGTACTAAATTCATCACAACATGCGAGCATACACTTAAAATGCAACAAGGTTTCAGTATTTAAAATAAAGATGATTAATTGTGTGTAACACACTTTAGAACATGCTGTGTTACATAGAATGCATTCTGTGGTACTATTAATTAAAGCACAGAAACAATAGTATTGTCATTCCGCAGAATAAGTTCTTTGAACTCTGTATGCAACAGTGAAGTTTCTATGCTTTATATAATAAAAGGTGAACTATATACACTGCTAATCATTTTTCTGTATAATAATACTTTATGTATCACTAGTAAAAAGTACTTTGTGCAGCATTATATGCCAAATATTAAACTTAATTCAGAACATGACACAGGCCACAGACATTGCATTAGACTATACTATTTACAGCAGTCATTACCACTTGCAATACTAAAAGAAACACATGCCTTGCTGAATTCTGTGAAGAGCAGTACAGTTTACAAAACAGTAGAGATTTTTTTCATATTATACAAGCTCCAATAATAGTCTTTTACAAAATGTGGTAACCTTACAAGAGGATCTACAATACTTCCAAAGGGTAATACCCAAAAATAGATAAGCATTACAAGAAACCACCCGTATAGTAAACCACAAACTAAACAAATCATATTACAGAACAATTTATAATATGCATAAATTACACAATTCATAACCTTTAACTAATTGATATGTCACATACATTACAATTATAGTAATCCTAAATCATTCTGTTCATAGCCATGTACCAAATTTGCTATGTATTATACAAAACAAATTATAATGTGCTGTGCATTTGCTTACAATATAAAAAAGAAT